ATCAAGAATTTCACAAAATACCTCCAAATTTTATAGAAAGTCAATGGGAATATAGGATCTTCTTTTATGAATAAGACTTAACAAACAACCAAAATGTACATAGGTATATTGTGTATAATAACTTCATTCATTAACACATTAAACCTGAACCAGTTCTCCTTTATGACTTACCTCTTTGCTTGGTGACTGAATACAAATGTCTTTTATTTTGGGTGTTGAATAAAGCACTGATTTTGTAGAATTTGTGCTGAAATCATTGGCAAGACCTAAAAAAAAAGTATTAAATTTTTGAAAACAAAATACAGTGTATATCTATGGGTTAAAATGAAAAGCAGCTCTATTTGAAGTAGGAAGAATTGTCTATGACTCTTTAAACGTAATTAACTTAAATCAAGTACAAACATCAATTCAATATTCAAATATTACTGAAAAGCATCAGGAACTGAGAAAGACAAGACTCCTAAAGAAGTTGTATGTCAGCTCTTCTTTCAGAGCACGTATAGAAGAGATACTCTTCTACCATCTACCCTTATTTCTTTGGTTGGCCCATTCTCTTACTACCTTTTGATGCTGACCGGCACTTAGAAAAATTTTTGTCGTACTTCAACCTGCCTTAGAAAGGGATATGAATCACTAAAGATTATCTCAAACTCTCTAGTGATGCCAAGAATTCTGCACATCTATTTCTATCATATGAAATACTTTCTCTTGTGTATGGTAACTATGTAAGGACTTCCACATTACAGGAATCTAGTGTGAATTAAAGGAGATGACAAATTATTGTCAATAATTTTTGTCAGTATTATCCTAAGTATACCAGAAGGTACATGAAGAATTGCATATGAGCTCGAAATTGTGGGGAACATATTTTGCATATATTTAAATGCTAGAACATATTTGCCCCATTTGATATTACTATGACAAATTTATATTTTCATCCATCCCAACCCTCAAAGTCCATCCAGAAACGAAACCTTACTTTTTTCTTCAAAACAGTCTTTTAAGATTTCCAGTATGTTCTGGCCTTGCTCTGTGTTAATGTCGGGTCCCCTGATAAGAAAGAAATAATATGTAAACAAATGGGTATGCTCCAATAAAACTGAAACAAAACCTGTTACAAAACAATAAGCCGGAATATGGGCTGTAGGAGTTTACTGACCTCTGATCTATAACATTCCTATTTTCTTGAGATTTGAAAAGTACTATTTATGAAGTAACTTCAGATTGTGGGCCAGAATGCATTATCAGATCATCCATCATAGAATTTTATAACTGAAAGATCTCAGAAACCACCTAGCCCAGTAAGTATCAACGAAATATGTGCATAAAATTACCTTTGCAGAAAAATATGTAAGTGGTCATATCCCCCAGACCAAATGAATCTGATTTTCTATGGTAATTCATGTAAATTCTGATGCACAAATCTGGTTAAAAACCACTAACTGAATCCCATGCCCTCATTTTGCGACAGAGAAACTGAAACCCCAATTGGTCCAAAAGACCTGCCCAAGTTTATAAACCTAATTAGTATTAATGGCAGAGTTTTTACCAGAATATAGGCCACTGTTATAAATTCTGGCCTTGACACCACCCAAGAGTACTACAT